CCCTTTGCTTCAGCAATATACAGGAGGTGCATACTGTGGGAAGGTGTATACTGGAACCTAAGGCCTTGATGAGTGGCAAAGATAAGACTCTTACAAGGACAGTCTGTGTCTTACCCACCCTTCCTCTTGGGCCCGGATGCTTGACAAAATTAGGACTCTATGAATGGAGAGGGGCATGTGAATGGGAGATGGCGTGCATCCTCATTTTCCTGTTGGAGAAACAAACTCAGAGAGGGTCAGGAAGCTGTCCAGGATCACAGATTAAGTCAGGCCTCCCTGGATCACATATGGGGGCAGTTCAGGCTGAAGAGAAGGGGAGGAAACTAGAGAGGGCCTGGTCTACAGGTATGGATGGCCACAGTGAGAGAGGTGGGGATGGTCCAGTCAGCCCCTTGAGACTTTTAACAGGGCAGTAGGTTAGCTTCCCTGTCTCCAGAGAGGGAGAAGAGGGAGGAAGAGGGAACATCTCAGGCATGTGATCTTATGTTGAGTCAGAAGTCAGATGAAATCTGGACATGAAAGAAGACACCCAAAGCCAGACTCTGTCCCAGGGCGTGGTTTGGAGAGAGAAATGTTGGGTTCAGACATTAGGGCTGGAGTCAGGAGCCTAACATGGGGGCCAGTCACTTCTCAGATCTGCCTCTCTTTGCTCTCAGACTCTACTATGCTCTCTGCCACCCATCACCAAGTTCATTGCCCTGCCCCCCTTCCTGCTCTGCCCCCAGCACCACATCTGTGGGCCAGCTACCTTCTAGTTCTGTCTCTACCACTGACCCACTGTCCTGCTGCCCCTGCCCTAGTTTGGGTACTATCACGTCTCTCCTGTATTATTGCAACACTTCCTCCAATAGGCCTCTTTGCCCCCAACTTCTTTCCCTCCAGTGCCTTCTACTCAAAGCAACCACAGTGATCTTTCTAAAGCACTTATCAAACCCTGTCTATTCCTAGCTTTTAGAGCTGCTCATGACCCTCATGATGAAATTCAGAAGTGTAAGCTTTGCAGTTGAGGCTCGAGGCATGATGTGGTCTCAGCTACCATTCTGATTCCATTTCCAGCCAGGCCTATCCTGTGACTACCAAGCTCATTTCTTCCCCAATCTAAATCCTTCAAGCCACTTGCTTCAGAAGATTTTACCCACCCAGCTTGGGCCAGTGCCCCTTCTCCCCTTGCCAGCTCTCCAGGGATCAGACACTCACCACTACATACACAAACTCACGCACTGTACACTAAACATCCAGATATGACTGCAGGGAAACATAGACCCATGTTGCAATCTGCTGCTCAAGGCCACTGACTCTTCTTATCCCACCCTTCAGGGCAGAGTCCAATAAAGAAATTGCATGAGCCAGGTGCACACACAGGCATGTACACTGCCAGCCAGCCAGCTGCCCAACTGCTCCAGCTGGGGAGAGAAGAGAGGGAGACTGGCAAACAGTAATTAGTCTGCTCCCAGATGCCAGTGTCTGTCTCTAAGTCCCCAATGACTTCCAAGGAGATGCTGGAACTACTTAGGTTCTTCACATCCCCCATGCAGAGACTATGAAGAATGAAATGCCAGGCATAGATAATAAGTTTGATCCTAGATATCAACACATAGCACCCCCACCCATAGCTGCTCCCTTAAGGTGCCAGCTCAGGGCCTCATTCTCAGAGCTCCCTTCCCCACCTGCCTAAGCTTGTTGGTCTCAGGTGTTATGGAACAGCGTCTTATTTCCTTCCTCTCAGCCCACAACTTAGCTTTCCTCCCCCTTCCTGTAGTTACTAGTTAGAAAAACTATTTTGGAAAATGCAGGCAGTGGCTTTAGCAGATGCCCTCAAGCTGAGCAGAACCCAAAGGAGACCTTTGGTGGCACAGGCCAAACTTGCTGTACATTTATATTCATTCACTCATTCAAGACAACCAAAGCCCCATTCTGGGCACCAAGTGAATAAGGGGAAAGGGTCCATATCTCAATAAGACAGAGACCCCCTCATCCTCAAAACTTTCATTATGTCAGCCTATCTTATGATAGGAGGTATGAAGACATCACCAAGGTGGATTAAAACAAGTCCTTTCCAACACTTAGTTTCTGAGAATCTTAACTTTTTAGGATTTTGAGGTTCTTTGATGAAGGACAGGAGCCCACAGGCCTGGGCACTAACTCCATTCAGGCACCATTATGGTCTCCCAAATGCCACCACAGCATGCAACTCTAACAATATGGAGCGGCAAACATAGCTACAGTGCCCATTTGACAGATGAGAAAACAGTAGCCCAAACAGAAAAAGGGACTTGTCTGAAGTTAGCGAGGCGGCAAGTTTGCCTGGATCTAAAATCCTAGCTCAACTCTCCACAGCATGAGTTGTGGGAGATGGGAGATAATGGTCTGACTGGCTGCCTGAATGCAGCCAAAAGAAGCTGTGTGGCTCAGAGGCTTCCATCAGATGGACGTGGGTGTGGTGAGGCCTGTCTTTCCAAGAGCTGGTGCTGGGGCTTGCTCCAGGCAGACCAGGAAGGCCTCTTAGGGGTGGGAAAGGGGGCAATTTAAATGGCATCTGGTACCAGGGTTGTGGGGGAGGAACTCTGTGGTTCCTGTGTTAGCAGTGGCGCTAGAGACCCCTGTAATCTGCCGCCTCCGCCATCTGGCCAACCACAGGCTAAGGACAGCAGGTGGGGTCTGCGGGGCGTGCCTCCTTGGGCTCTGCCCTCTGCGGAGCCTTTCCCCACTCCACACTCAACCCCAGTCTTGGCTGCCAACCCCTAGTCTGGTCTGAGGGGGAGGGCCCCGCCCAGCTCAACTGAAGGGAGGCCATTCCAAGCAGTAGTCCTTAGTTGGACACAATTCCCAGAGGGATGCAAATGTCAAAGGCAACTCGATCCGGCTCATCTCCCTCCCCTGCCTGGCAATCGGATCTGCGGGGATAGAGTGACTGTGCCTACATAACCTGGAATCTCCACACCCACCCGTAGCACCTCTCCCGAGCTACACCGTCCGAAGGGCCAGACTGAGGTCAAAGTCCCGGTCTCCCGCTGGGAACCGCGGCCCGGAGGAAGGGCCCAGGTGTCCAGGCTCGCTTCACCCACTCATCGGTGGGAGCGAAAGTTCAGGAATCTTGCTCCCTCAGCAGCCCCCCACCCCCAGGTCCTCCCGTTGGGCTCACTCACGGCAGTGACTGCCCGGCAGAAGTCGGGGTGAAGGAGCCTCTAGCAGATCCCCCTCCGCTTGAGCCAGAGTTGAGCTGCCACGGCGCCGCGCGGGGCGCTGCCTGGCTCCGTGCAGCTGGGCCCCTCCTTGCGCCCCGCCCTCAGGCTACTTGGCCACGCCCAGCCGTCCAGTCTCGCCTCCGGCCTCAGAGTCCAGCCCCGCCCTTGGCGCCAGACCCCTCCTCCCGTACTACCGCGCATAACTGAGGCTCCGCCCCATAGCCTAGTCCTCCCAGTGCTCTATGCCCTCCCAGCCCAGGCTTCTCAGGCTTATGCTCAGCCCCGGGCCTTCTGGCTCCGCTTTGCACCTGCAGGCCCGCCCCTGCGGGCCATAGCTTACAAGTGGGCCGGACTCGGCCCCAGGCCTGCTGGGAAATGTAGTTCTGGAGGAAGGAACCCCTGCCGAATGTTAGGGTTCTTACATCTCCAGGCTAGGTTTGGGATGTGTATGAGAGGGAGAGAGCCACAGGGTAAAAGAGCAGGGCTGGCTTTTGGGATTCCTTCTCTCCAGGTTGGGCAGGTGGAGGTTGTATCCGTATAACGCTCTCACAAATCCTCACTTTTCCCATATGGAAAAGGGGTAGTGGAATTCCTGGAGGATATCAGCGCCCAATGCAGGGTGGTTGCAGTCAAAGGGCCCCCGGAGGAGCTTGTAGTTCCAGCCGGCCAGGAGGCCCAAGCTGTTTGTTCCCACTGGACCAAACCAGCAGAACCCAAGGTCAGGGACTAAGACCAGTTTTTGCTCAGTATTTTGCAACGCCCCCCCCCCCCCCCGCCTAGTTTTTTATAGGGTCCAACCCCTCCTCTTAGTGACAGCCTTTAGTTAGAAAAGCCCATTCTACAGGAAAATGCATGTGCCCTACCATACCCTGGGGGGGGGGGGTGCAGGACTTTGAAGTTTCATATCTTTGTGGAAAAAGGAAAATACTGAAGATCTCAGAGATTCTAGAACAACCCACCCCTTGCTCCCTGAGGGGCAGAAAAACAGGGCTTTGTTTTGCAATTTGCAGTGTTTTGGTTAGGAGATCCTCCAAAATTATTGGGCCCATTGAACTTGGATGGGGAAGGGCAGCAAGGGTGTGTGAGCAAAGAGGCTTTTAGGGGGCTGTGATGGAGTTTCTAGGGGCAGAGATCAAGAGCTTTGAGTATCACGCCTGTAATCCTAGCACTCTGGGAGGCCGAGGCGGGCGTATTGCTCAAGGTCAGGAGTCCGAAACCAGCCTGAGCAAGAGCGAGACCCCCATCTCTACTATAAATAGAAAGAAATTAATTGGCCAACTAATATATATAGAAAAAATTAGCCAGGCATGGTGGCACATGCCTGTAATCCCAGCTACTCGGGAGGCTGAGGCAGTAGGATCACTTGAGCCCAGGAGTTTGAGGTTATTGTGAGCTAGGCTGATGCCACGGCACTCACTCTAGCCTGGGCAACAAAAAAAAAAAAAGAGCTTTGAGTGTACAGACAGGGCTTTGACTGTAGAAGGGAGGATTATGGGTCCTCTGATATGCAGGAGGGCATCTAAGTTTGGGGGCATATTGGAAAAATGATAGCTGAAGGGTCTTCATAGGGTGGGAGTTAGGTCCTCCCTGCATGGCTAGGTGGACTCTTAGTTCAGGCTCTGAGATGAAGGGGAGAAGAACACCAGCAGGATATAGGGCTACTGTTATGTGTCAGGAGGGCACTCAGTACTGAGATGATGAGGGTGGGGAGGGTGACTCTGAGACACTGCATCTCAGTTGAGGTGGCTTGGCAGAGGCCTGAGTGACTGGCCCCTTACTTTGAGATCCTGCTGGGTGAGGACACAGGAGGCAGCCTTTGGTGGTGAAGAGTTTATTTATTGCTTCACCCCTTGGCCCAGCCAGCCCAGGCTCTATCAGCCTAGGTTCTACCAGCTACGGTAGTCGGGGTAGGTCTCGGATACAAACTCAGGATGGACGACATAGTTGTTTCTCTGGGGACCACCGGACTTCTTGAAGTGACTTGTGTCCCATCTGCAGGGAGAGATGGGTCAGACCTTTTGGACCCTCACACGTCTAAGTGAACATCTGACTCCAACTCGCAATGCTAACTTTATCCCAACATTTTGCCACTGACACTGACCCTGGGTTCCAGCACTGACCTCCTGGTCTCAGGTTCTTGTGTTAAATTTCTGATACCCTATACCCACTCTCTAACATTGACTTTTTATCCTTTGCTTCAAAGCCCTGAACCCAACGGCCTTGACTCTAAGCCCACTTTAAAGCCAATTGCCAACCTTTAACCCTTTAATACCCTCCTTCTTGCCCTCTCATGAGGTCTCCTCCCTTTCCTTGTCAGCTTTGACTCCCCACGCACTGGCTCCCCCTGGTGGCATCACTCTGTTAGTGCACAGCAGCGGACAGTATCCCACCCCAATTAGTGCCATCCTCCCTCCGGCCCCGCCGTGCCAAGGGAACAAACTCCAGAGGCTTATGCAAGTGAGTGTGCGAGCCCAAGACTTACCTAAGGTTCGGACTTGGATAGTACGACGGCGGAGGAGTTGTAACAGCACACTGCATTCCGGGCCTGTGCTCATAGGGCGAAACACCCCTGGAGGAGGAATCGTGGGCAGGGAGGGGTTGGGCCTTTGATCCTATCCCCAGATCCAGACCAAGCCTCTGGACAGCGCTTCAGGTGTCAGTCTCAAGGCTCGGAGATTCTCCCCTCCTTCCTTGCCCTTCAAGACCCCATAGCAGCACCGCCTCCGGGAAGCGCCCTAGGAGTCTCCCTCCCCAAAGACCTCGCTTCTGCAGCCCAGGGGAGAACGCTGGACTCTTGGGAGGACCGGGCACCGTTCGGTCGTTGAGGACCTGCAGCCTCCGGATGCCCGTCATTGGACATTCCCCGGCACTATGGAGGAGGCAATGCTTTTGAGCCTCCTAGAGGCTCAAACACTTTCCTGTCCCCCTTGCCCTTGTGAGGCTTAAGGCCCAGTCACCCGCAATGAATCTGACTCCTGGCCTGGGGGGAGGGGATCGTGGGCCCTCTCTGCCCAGCTCTCCAGACTGCCACAGCATGGGACTTCTCCCAGGCAAGGTCTGCCTTGTCTGCCGCCCCGTGCAGGACGAATGCTGAGCTGCAGTCTGGGCGCCACCTGTGCACTCCGGCCTCCGTTTCCTTAGCAGTAACACGCGTCTACCAGAGGAGGTGGTGCGGGGCTCCGGGGAAGCTAGCGCTGTTCTGGTGAAGCGGTCACCGTTTTCTTGCTCACTTAGCCCCCAGCAATGAGCTAGGGTCACTACTGACAGTGACCCGGGGCCCAAGGAAGACAGGACATTTTTCTGAGCACACACGGCACTCCGCAGGCTAGAACCTGCGTCTCCGGAGCCAAGAGTCCGGGTAGCAGGCAAGGCCAGCGGAAGAGGATGAGACTTCCTTCCTCGGAAACCCTCCGGGAGGACCTCCAGAGCATATACTGGGGTCAGAGTGACCTTGAGCCCAGTTCGGAAGGGACAGGGTTAGGGACTTGTTGTAAGCTTGCTGGTTCTCCCGCCCCAGTTCGCTGAGGTCCTGGCGCCCGCCGAGGGAGGACACAGCGGGGCCCTGCAGGCGAGCGGAGCCGGCCCGGGCGGCCCGGGCTGGCACAGAGGCGGAGCGGGGTCAGAAGTGGGGCGGGATGGCGCGCCCTCAGCCACGTAGGGCAGGACTCCGGGGCTGGGGCCGGGCCGGGAGCGGAGCCTGTCTGAAGCGGGCCGAGCCTTGCGAACCTTACAGTCGGCAGGTCCCCGCACGAAGGCCGCAGGCGGCGATCGGCGCAGGGCGCCCCTGTGACGCAGTGGTCCATCCCGCGCAGACAGTAGTGGCGCCCCGAGCTGGCGCTTTCGTAACCTTGGGAGGGCAGGCGGCCGGGCAGCGGGTCCACGCACCCGCATCGGGGCGTGATCTGCGGCAGCGGCTGGTTCTGTGACAGTGAGTTCAGCATGTTCACCACCACTTCGCGCTCTGCGTCCGCGGGTCCCGAGTCCAGGAGACCCAAAGAATCACACAGATGGGAAGAGACACGGTCGCGGACAGGGAGAGGCGGAGACAAAAACAGAGACAGGGTTACACCCTCTCCAGAACCCTGGGTCTCCTTCTTGTCCCTCAGGTCCTCATCCTGCACTCCTTCTGGCCTCCCCCTACCTTCTCTCTACCGGTTCCTCCCCACCAATCCACCACCCTTTACCGTAGGCATTGAGCCGCTCAGGCTTAGGAGGGCACTCCAACGGCATTCCTCGATCTGCAGTCTCCATCCCAGCCTCCTAGAAGTGGCACACAAGCGACCTCAAACTCTAACCTGGAAGAGTTGTTCCCTTTGGGGGGTCTTCTCAGAACATTCTGATCTGCCACCAGGTCCCCGACCGCTGGGCAGCTCCGGTACTCTCCAGGGAGGGCTCTGAGTGTTTGGGGTTGTTGCTGGGCAACTCGTTTTCCTGTGCCTACAGGGGTGGAGGTGGGGTGGGGAGGGCTATACAGGACTGAGTTCTGCCCCTGGGCCCCTGACAACCCTGCCTTAGAGTTTGCCTTTGATTTTACCCCTCTTTGTCTAGATGTGTCTGAGTGTCTGTCTAATAGGGGATTTTCACTATTGCTTGCCCATCAGAATCATGTGAAGAACTTGTGAAATTTTGAAAAATTCTAATTCTTGAGGAAGTTCTAATTCAAAAGCATTTGGTCAAACCCACCGAGGTCAGCCACCAGTATAGGGCAAGAACCCCTGCTTTGGCCTCGATCCTCACATCCCTCCTGCTGGGGCTGGGGCTGGGGCTGGACTCTCACCTATCTCCTTGGAAGCCTTGCTATATCTGCACTGCTGTTGGGGAGCCTCACTCTCCCTCCCATTGTCCTAGCTCACATCATAAAGGTGGGGAAGGTGGAGCATGGACACTCAGCTTATGACTCCTTGGGTGGCCCCAGTGTCACAGGGGCCAGACCACATGGGGAGGGACCAGTTAGTAAGCTTCAGGAAGGCAATATGTCAAGGAGTACACATAAGACATGTCCCCAGGCCGGGCGTGGTGGCTCACGCCTGTAATCCTAGCACTTTGGGAGACCGAGGTGGGTGGATTGCTCAAGGTCAGGAGTTCGAAACCAGCCTGAGCGAGACCCCGTCTCTACCAAAAATAGAAAGAAATTAATTGACCAACTAAAAATATATATACAAAAAATTGGCCTGGCATGGTGGCACATGCCTGTAGTCCCAGCTACTCGGGAGGCTGAGGCAGGAGGATCGCTTGAGCCCAGGAGATTGAGGTTGCTGTGAGCGAGGCTGACGCCATGGCACTCACTCTAGCCTGGGCAACAAAGTGAGACTCTGTCTCAAAAAAAAAAAAAAAAAAGACATGTCCCCGAAGAGCCCAGTCAGAGATTGGGACCCAGGGGACCCAGTCCCCAGAATGAAGAGCTAAGGGCCCAGCACAGCTCCACTCCTGGGCTCCCTGTTCAGCTAAGAAATATAGACCCTAGTTTCACAGATGGGAAGAGCCTTGGAACATTATTGGTGGGAAAGGGATGAGGAACTAATGGTGAAATATTAGTCGCTGTGGTTTGGGAGGTGGGCACATTAGATACCTTAGTCAACCTGGGAAGGTAGGTGGGATACTTGTTCCAGCAGTTGCTGTTGTAAGATCCAGTCCTCCATGTGTACCGGTCACTGCACAGGGAGTTTGAACTGCATTTGTCTGCTTGATCATAGGGGTGGAGACATCAGATAGTGTTAGTCCTTATTCTACCCTAAGATCTGGGACCTGCTAGATGTTTCTCCTTTTATCCCCAGCACAAAGGTGACCCTCGCTGACCTCCTGCAGGCCAGTCCCCAGGCCCAGCTGGGCTCCACACTTGCCTTAGGCACTGAGATTCAGCCCATTTCCCACCTAAGGCAACCTTCTGAGTGGGGTCTGGATCCATGTGCTGATCGCTCTTCATTTTGGCACTACCCTCTTTGAATTGGCCAACCTGGAAATGGGCCTCCTTCCAATTCCTCTCTCTCATTTTCCACTCTAGGCTCCAAAGTTAGTCTATTCTGATTCCTCAAAATCACTAGAATTTATCCTCTCTTCCTGTCCCCCCATGATCTCACTCCCATATCTCTGCAGTGCCTTAACCAGGAGACAATATAATGTCATACTTAATAGATATATATCTATGCAGATAGACCACCTAGGTTCAAATTTCAGTTCCGTCAATTATTAGCCGTGTGTGACCTTGACCAAGTTAATTAATTCTGCTGTGTCTCAGTTTCCCCAACTTTAACATGAGGGTAATAGTTCTATTTATTTACCTCAAAGAGTTGTTGTGAGGTTTAAATGAATTGATAAATGTAAAACCTTTAGAATGATACCTGGCAAATAAAAAGCTATTATGATTAGCCTACCGGTCTCCTTGCCTCATCTTTGAAATCCTGTAATCCAACCTTGACGTAGAAGCTGGAGTACTTTTTCACAAATGAAAATTTGACCAAGACACTTTTCTACCTAAAACCCTTCAAAGTCCGCCACCCTCCACCCCCAGTCACCTAGGCCAGTCCCACAAGGTCCTCCATGATCTGCTCCCCCAAGAGTCTGAACAAACACATGTGAGAGGCACTATGAAAGAAGCCCAAAAGGAAGAGCAGGTGTGTGAGGGGAGGGGGTGGGGTGTTGGGATTTGGAGTTCTGAATTGGTGGATCGGACATGCTGCGATTGAGGTGCTTGGGGATGTTCAGGTAGAGATGACCATAGTCAGACAAAGGAGGGTGGGATTCTGGTGTGAGGTCAAGTCTGGAAACCAAGATTTGAAGCTGTCAGTAATTATAATCAAGTGTTGGATAAAATGGCCTCAGGGTATGAACAAGGAGAGAAGAGGGCTCAAGACAGCATACTGAAGAGCCCCATGTGTCCACAGTGGGTGCACAAGAGACCCAGGAAAGTAAGGCATGAGAGAAGCTGAGGAAGGATGTAATTTCAAGAAGAGGAGAGTGATCAGAAGAGTGAAATGCACAGGGTAGGTCTCACGGGGTAAAGACGGAAGAGACTCATGGATTTGGTAATTGGAACCACACAAGAGCAATTTGAGCGTTTGATGTGGGAGATGCAATCTCTCAGCTTCAACTGGGAATTATCAATTCATTCAACAAATACTTATGAAGTGTGGTGCATACACGATGGAGGGCACACAGCTGTGAATGAGACCAGATTCTCTCTGCTCCTTTGGAATATACGAGGAGACAGATCATGAACACCTAACCAAATGAGAAAGAGAACTTCTGCAAATGTCTAAGAAGGGGTGAGGAAGTGAGTATAGACTATGTTTCAATCTTGGCCCTGAAGGAGAAGAACAAGAGAGAATTTTTAGTCAGCAAGAAACTAGAAAATGTTCCAAGTTGAAGGAAAAAGGTGTAGTGGGGCAGTGGGATGCAGGGGAGATGGAGAGAGCTCATGGAACAGGGTGTGAGGAGATGGGAGGATACACTTGGAAGGGATTTGTTTGGAGGAGGTTAATTCTCTCTCTCTCTCTCTCTCTCTCTCTCTCTCTCTCTCTCTCTTTCTCTCTCTCTCCATCTAAGGATGAGACCCATGGCTCTTTCAATTCTTTTTCCACAGACAGGGAACCCCAAAAAGCAGGGTCTGGGTCATCTCCTCCAGGGCTAGGATCAGGTCTGATGGTTGGGAGTAAGGTTGGAGGCTGGAGTGGGGGCTAGTTAGGGAAGAAGTCTAGATCTCGGGTGGAGACAAGGTTGAGATAGGATCAGAATGGAGGTCAGGATCCAGGTTGGGTGTCATCTGGGAGTTTGGTGAGGGGAGAGCCCCTACCTTCGTCTTGAGAGAGCCAGTACTTCTCAGGCAAGTAGGGATGGCCTGGAATGGAACTCTTATAGGTATAGTCCTGTGTCGCACATTTGAGCATCCTCTGCAAGGTTTCAATATCCACATGGCGCTGCATGGTCTGAGTCAGACCCTGGGCAAGAGGAGAGAGAAGTATCTAGGCGCATGGTGACCCCAGGCCTGGAGTCTTGCTGGATCTTGAGCCAACCTCTCTTGAGAAGGTCAGCCCAGGTAGGTCTCCCAACCTCCCTCCCAATGCCAGAGGGATTCCTAGGCCAGCCTTGGTCCCTCTGCACAGTTTTCTTGTTTGAATTGCCCTTTTCTCCTTTTTTTCCCCATCCAATGCTGGCCTTGGACCCAGGTTTTTGCCCTTAGTCATAGTAGTTTTCTGGTTTTCTCATTTCTGTTGTTTCCTGACTGGGAGCTCATGAAGGCCATGGCTGTGTATTACTTCTTTCTTTCTTCTAGACTGTGAGCTCCCTGGGAGCAGGGACTTGGTCTCCTCCAACAAAGCAACAGGCCCATGGCATAAACTGGGGCCTCAGGGAAGACTGGCTGCCCTGGGAGCTGGTTGCCTTATGTAGGTGTCTTGGACAGGGTAGGCTCTCTGGCAATTTGGCGCCTTGAAGGAATTGAAGGACAGGGCTAGAGGACACCTACTTTAAAATTTAATTCCCTGCCTCTGACCTGACCCTGATTCTGGTTGGCTCTGACCTTGATACCAATGATACCTTTGACCCCGACTCTTACTTTGGCCTGGTACTCATCCAAACTTGACCTTTTTCCTGTTCTTTGTCCAGGCCCTGGCCCTTTCGTTTTGTGGGGTTCACCTCATCTAATCGCATCACCGTTTGTTCAGTTGGCTCTGTGGAAGCCCAAATCAAGCCTCCCTTTGGTGCCCCTTCTCTTCAGCTGAGGGTGGAATGCCAAGTTAGTTGTAGGCCCATGAGGCTCTGCAAACAGCCTGTCTGAAAAGGCAGCTGGGTCACAGAGGTGGGACTCCAGCAAAGTCAGACATCTGAAAGGGTTTCCTCATAATGGGCAGTGAGGTGCTGGGATGGTGACATATCACCCACACTTGCCCCTATGATCTTAGGAACAGAGGCTTTCCTTGGCGAGGGCTGAGACCTTGCTGCTCCCAGGGCTCCAACCAGCCTGAAAATCCCTCTGCTCAGGGGCTTCTGGGATCATCTGTGGCCAGCTGACTTTGTTCTGTGGGCCAATCCTGCACAGTCACACTCCCATGAGGGTGGAGGGCAAAATAGGGGAGATGTGGGTACAGGGGTACCATGACTCAGCACTTCCCTGAGCCTTACAGATACCACCCCGCCATGAGCCCAGATACACTCACAGATGCACATACAGATGTACATGCATATACACTCAGACAGACACACACCAACACTCAGAAACACACACTCACAAATACAAAAACAGTCATTTAGAAGAACTCATAGACATCATCGATTTTTCTGTTAGAGGTTTTCCTCAGATGTCTGCTATCTTTGAGCTTATTGGAGACTTTCAGCTGTGGGTGGGCTTTGTCAGGATGATCTGGTTGGACTGTTTTTTGTAAACTCCAATGTCAGCATCTGTCGGTTTTTCCTCTTTGGCTGATCAGCTTCTTTGGAAAAGATTCCTTTAATCTTTGGCCTGAGGGTAATGACATAGCTGCCAGTGTTCTGAGAGCTGAAGAGTGCTGAAGAGAGCTACTGGGGGTTTTAGCATTCAATGTATGGAGGGTCACAGACTTTTCAAAGTGGTACCCTGCCCTCGACTGGTATATGTAACCCTGAGATCCTCACCAAAAAATTAGCCTTCTGACTTGCAGAAATGGAAGTGGGAAGTCACACTAGGGCGTGGAATACAAGAGGGGATTCGTGGACTTAACTGCTTCTTTGAAACAGCTCTTTGAAAGCTGTTTACAGCTTTCAAATTAATCCTTATTTTAGTGTTCATCCTGTTCCATCTTCGGTTCCAGAGAAGCCTAGGATTTCAATTCCTGGGCCTTTTGGAAATTCTGCAGTTTTAAGTTGAATTATATCTTGGGTTTCCTATTGTTGGCTTTGGATTCAGCTTTCTTATGTCTGCTAAGTTAGTTTCATCTATTATACTTTCCAGCTTCCAAAATTTTGTTGCCATTGTCCCTTCTTTCTCATTATCTTTGTGAATTTATGTCTTAAGTATCCATTTACTGTAGTTTTAGATAGATTTCAGGAGAGAGTCAAAACACACATGTTCAATTTTAACCCAGAGAATTATAGTTCTTTAGATATTTGATATACTAGTCCTTTACATATTGCAAATATCTTTTCTCAGTTTGTGGCTCTGTCTTTACTTTTCTTTATTATGTCTTTTGATGAACGAATTTAATTTTAATTTTAACATAGTTGAATTTATCAATCTATTCTTTTATGGTTAGTACTTTTTGTGACTTGTTTGAGAAATCCATCCATACTCTCAGATAATGGAGATAGTGTCCTGTATTTTCTTCTAAAAGTTAAACAGTTTTACTTTCCCTGTCTAATCTGTTAGGAGTTTGGGCAAGTCCTTTTCTTTTTTTTTTTTTTTTTTTTATTTTTCTTACTGTTAACCAGAACATGTGGAAAGTCCTTTTCTTATTCAGGTAGCTCTAACTATTCCTTGGGCCTTTGTTCTTCACTATACATTTTAGAAACATCTTGTCAAATTCTTCGAAAAATCCTGTTGGGATTTTAATCAGAATTGCATTGAATCTTTATGATAATAACTCTTTCTATCCATAAGCATGTTATATCTTTCCATTTAAGTATTTTAAAAAATATTCAATAAAGTTTTATAATATTCTTTATAAATATTATTCATATAGTTTTGCATACATCATTAGATTTCTTTCTATTTACCTTTGTTTTTGTTGTTAGAATAAATGAGGTATATTTAAAAATTATACTTCCTAAATATTTGTTGTTTGTATAAAGAAATGTGATTGACTTTTTTTGGAGGGGGGACAGAGTCTTGCTCTGTTACCTGGGTAGAGTGCAATGGTGTCATTGTAGCTCACTGCAACCTCCAACTCCTGGGCTCAAGCAATCCTCCTGCCTCAGCTTCCTGAGTAGCTTGGATTACAGGTGCATTCCACAATGCCTGGCTAATTTTTCTAGTTTTTGTAGAGATGGGGGTCTCACTATCACTCAGGCTAGTCTTGAACTCTTGGCTTCAAGCAATCCTCCCACCTCAGCCTCCCAGAATACTGGGATTACAGGCATGAGCCACCACGCTCAGCCCCTTTGTACCTATTTACTTTTTCTTTTCTTGGTGTCCTGGCTAGACCTCCAGTACGTTGTTGAACAGAAGTAGTGATAGTGAACATTCTTGCCTTGATTCAAATTAAAAAAAAATGCTGCCAACATTTAACTAATCAGAACGATGTTGACTGTATATTTTAGGTATACATTCTTTATCAGGCTAAGAATGTTTCCTTCTATTTATGTTTGCTTTTTTTTTAAATTATGAATGAGCAATGAATTTTAGCAACTGCAATTTCTTTTCTTTTTTAAAAAAATTTATTTATGTATTTTTTGAGACAGGGTTTTACTCTGTTGCCCAGGCTAGCGTGTGGTACAGTAACATCATCATAGCTCACTGCAGCCTTGAATTCCTGGCTGAAGTGATCCTCCTGCCTCAGCCTCTAGAGTAGCAGGGACTATAGGTGTGCACCACCATGCCCAGCTAACTTTTTTTTTCCTCTTATTTTGTAGAGATAGGGTCTTGTTCTTGCTCAGACTGGTCTCCAACCCCTGGCCTCAAGCAGTCCTCCCACATAGACCTCACAAAGTGCTAGGATTATAGGCATGAGCCACTGCACCCAGCCTTAGCAACTGGCTATTTCTGCATCTTTTTTTCAAATAGCTTTACTGAGGTATAATTTACATGCCATAAAATTCACTCTGCTTAAGTGTACAATTCAAGGATTTTTGTTAATTCAAATTCACAAAAGGTCATGAAAAACAAAATAAAACAAAAAAGAATTTTTAGGTTAGGTGTGGTGGCTCACGCCTGTAATCCTAGCACTCTGGGAGGCTGAGGCTGGTGGATCGTTTGAGCTCAGGAGTTTGAGACAGGCCTGAGCAAGGGTGAGAACCCGTCTACCAAAAATAGAAAAAATTAGCTGGGCATGGTGGCACATGCCTGTAGTCCCAGCTACTCAAGAGTCTGAGGCAATAGGATTGCTTGAGCCCAGGAGTTTGAGGTTGCTGTGAGCTAGGCTAACACCATGGTACTCTAGTTGGGGCAACAGAGTGAGACTCTGTCTCAAAAAAAAAAAAAAAAAGAATTTTTAGTAGATCTCTCATGCCCATTTTATTTCTGCATATTTTGAAATGCTCTTGTGGTTTTCTCCTTGAATCTGTTAATGTGATGCATGACATTTATTAATATTTTTCTAATGTTAAACCATCTTTGCATTTTTGGAATAAATACAACTTAACCATGATGAATTATTTTTTATACACTGCTGGATATAATTTCTAATATTTTATTTAGAATTTTTGCTTTTGTATTTATTAGTGAATTGGCCTGTATAATTTCCCTTTCTTACACTGTTCTTGATTAGTTTTGCATCAAAGTTATACTGGCTTCATAGAATGAGCTGGGAATCATCCTCTTTGCTCCTGTTCTCTGGAAAAGTTTGTATAAAATTGACATAAACTGTTCCTTGAACATTTGAAGGAACATAACTATTTAATTATCTAGGCTGGCTGTTTTCTTTGTGGGTAGATTTTAAATTATTGATTTAATATCTTTGTTATAGGAGCATTTGGATTTTTCTAATTATGCTTGAACTGGTTTGGCAAGTTTATTTTTCTAGTATTTGTCCATTTGTTTTCAATTTTATTAGCCTGAAGTTGTTCAGAATATTTTCTTATTATCTTCTATCCATGCCTAGACCCTTCTTTTGTCTGTGCCTTGTCTTTCTTTAACTCGCTAGAGATTTGTCTATTTTATGAATCTTATCAAAGAACCAACTTTTGACTGTTGATCTTGTTGAATCTTTGCTTTATAGTTTAATGTTTACTCTTATTTTCATTATCTCCATTCTTCTATTTTTCCCATTTATTCTGTTTTCCCCTCTTATCTTGTTAAGTTTGATGTTTG